CTTGAATATCACACTGTGGTATCATCGGAGGACGGTGGCCGGACGCCGGAAGACGGGGACAGAGAGAGAAGAGAGGAGAGTGGAGAGATGAGAGAAAATACCTAAAATGTTATTGTATTAAAATTTTTAATTAAAAATTACCAAAATTATAAATTTCTTAATTTATCTATTGATTTATGGTTGAAATTGGATCTTACGGTTACCATAAACTAATCAGTTCTTCCTTGAATGGGCCCCTATATATATATATATATATATATATATATATATATAAGTCACAAGAAAGAAATTAACATATGTAAAGAATGAACCAAACCAAAACTAAAACTAAAATTTTAGGTGCTGTTTGGCAGTTGCTGAATGGTTGGGTGTTGAATAATTAAGTGGTCAAAATGATTAAGAGGCTCTCATGATATATTGCAAAATGAAATATTATTGTTTGGTAATTTTTTCTAATGAAATTAGAGTGCTTAATAATTAAGGGAGACTCAGGATACAAAATCATTCAAAGGGTTTTATAACTATTAAGAGACATACTTTTTTTTGTCAAACAAGATTCAATTCTTAACTAAACTATTAAAAGGTAAATAAACAACCCATTAACCCTATGTTTAGTTCCAAATAACTTTTAATTAAGAAGCAAGATATTTGGAATAGTACCCGTTTTTACTACAAAATAGGGGAGTTCAAAAATCCTTTATTAAAATAGGATAGTTTAAATTTGTTTTATGAAACTAAGGTGGCTAGTAGATTCCATGACAAGTTGATTTTGATTTAAATATTTTGAATTTAACCTTTTTTTAATGTGATCACAAATTTCAATCGTATCTTACCTTTTTCTTAGTTTTTATATTCTACCTAGGAGTGTATAAAAAACTGTCTATCCACAAAACTCGACCAACCCAACTTACTAACAACCCAATTAAATCCAACTCGCCTAACCATCAAACTGTCCATCCGCCAAACCGTTAACCCGTTAATTATGAGGCTAGGCCCAACCCGCCCAACCTGCCGCTAATATATAATTTTTATAAATATATATATATATATATATTAATAATGTGTAAAATTTATATAATTTTTATTGATATTACGTTTGTATTTCATTTTACCTAAACGTATATGTTACTAAAATAGATTTACGATCAAAGAATGATGACAAATAATCTGATTAATAAAAGAAAATTATTGAAATCTTTTTTGCAGCAACAACAAATTGATATGTCGCATAGCGAATGGGATATTCAGGTTAATAAAAAAAAATTAATATGTCGGAGAATATGAATAATATTGATAGATATTTGTTTGACGAATCCATCAATCTAAATCCCACGTCATTTTATGTTGTACTTTAGTGAGAAAAAAAAATGTTTATTTATAGCATTTCGTTACAACAACATTAGATCTTATAGGATGCCTAAAATGTCTAAACGTCCTAATATGATACTTTATCGGATGAAACAAGAAAAATGTCTTATTAAAAGAGTTACAATATGTTTATAGGATGATTTTGGGCGTTTTAACATGTTCTATGACGCTTTTAAAATAGAGTGTCGTATTAGTTATTTTATACGACTCAACTTGAAAAAGCGTCAAACGAACATATGTGTCTTATAAATAGATGAGTTTACGGGACACTTCTCAAAATATTTCTATAAAATAACTAATATGACATTTTATTTAAAGGTTATTCTAAAACACTTGTTGAAACATCCAAAAACGTCATATAAACCTATCGTAACCTTTTTAGATAAAACGCTTTATAGTATGGTCTATAAACTTAAGTTTTATGAATTATTTCATTCGTCAGATTTATGTAACCACTAACCCGCCAACCCAACCCAACCCAACCTGCGTCAACCTACAAGAGTTGGGTTGAGTAGAGTTATACTTTTGAATGTATTGAGTTAGGTTGAGATTTTTTCAAACCACCATAATTGGGTTGAGTTGTAAACCGTCTAACCCAACCTGTGTACGCCCCTAATTCTACCCTTAATTTTTATATATCATGTATATATCTAATCATTGTAAATATATATATATATATATATATATATATATTTTAAAACTAATTAATTATATTTTTAAAAATGTCATTTTATTATGATGATCTCATCAATAATTTAATGACACCCTTCTATTTCTTTCTTTTTATATTACATTTTTATTATATTTTGGAAAGCAAATGATGTAATAAAAAAATAAAGATTTTGAATAAAATTTTAATTTGAAAAGAACTTAAAGGATGCAATTGAAAAAAAATTGATGTACATAAAATAGTCTAATTGAAAAGAAAGTAACATATATTTAGATATATAAAAAATGTAACATTGATATGATATGAAAATAGGAAAAGTTTAAAAAACCCCAGCAAACTTTATCATTTTGAATGATTTAGGGGTCGTTTATTAAACGTTTACTTGGTAAGTGCTTTTACCAAATAAATTTTCTTATCGGATGAACATGACAAGTGCCAAAATCATACCGGGTAAGAGCAATGAGAAGGACGTAAAGTCTTACCTGGTAAGTGATGATTACGACTCTTATCCAGGTAAGCGCTTACCCGGTAAATTGTTGCATTCAATACGTTTTGATGTACTAAAATCTTACTCATCAAAATAAATTATAGTGTTGACTTCTATAGGTAAGCACTTACCGAGTAAGCATTTGGGTAAACAGCCCCTTAGTTGCTAAACTATTTTTTTAATTGAAAAAGAACCATTAAACTTTCTTATTTTGAATAATTAAGTTTCTAAACTATTTTTTGAGTGAAAAAAATCATTAAACGTTCAAATTTTGAATGATTAAGACCCTGAATTATTTAAAAATAAATAAATAGACCATTGAATTTTTACCAGTCAGTTAATGTAATTTTTTTGGGGTTAAAAGGATGTAGGTTACCAATTTTTGAAAGTGTGATGGTTTAATTATTAAATAAATGTCGAGGGACTTAATCAATCAAAATTAAAAGGTTTAATAGTATTTCATTTAAAAAGAGAAAGTTTAATGGTTTTTTCATTCGAAAATAGTCTATGCACTTTATCATATAAGATGAGAAAGTTTAATGGTTTTTTTCATTCAAATAGATAGTTTAGAGACTAAACCATTCAAAATGAAAAAGTTTGTAGCGTTTTTTTGAACTTTCCCCTATAAAAATAAAGAAAAGAAAAAGAGTGTAATCGAAAATTGTTTAAAAAATTGAGGGTTTGAAGTTGGAAAAGTGTTTACCCCTTTGAGGTTAACACTAGGGATAAGATCGGTACCGGTCCATTTGGTACCCATTTTTTGTGGGACTCTAAAGTAGAACCGAAAACGAAATTGTATGTAAAGTTCCGTACCGGTTCAGTTTCGGTTCTAGAACCACTTAGGACCGAAATATGAAAGTGGGTTAAAAATAATCAAAAGTACATAAACGTTTCAAATGTGTATCAACCATTTAATCTTCGGTATTCTTTCTCTTTTCCCCTTTCCCTTTTCTATTTTGTCCGATTTTTTTGATGGTGATAGGGCCGATTTATATCGAGGTGCTCGAATTTCTTGATCAAAATAATAGGACCGAATTTTTTGATCAAAATAATAAGACTGAATTTTTTGATCAAATTAGAGAAGATATCAATAATTATGGAGAAGGTATGTTAACTTTAACACCCCTACTTTTACAAAACAAATTTAAGCTATCCTATTTTTACAAAGGATTTTAAAAACTACCTTAGGGGTTGTTTAGGATTGCTATAAAAACAACTTATTGACTTTTTCCGGTATGACATCGGTAATAAGCACTTTTGAGTGTTTGAATAAACAACTTATATCGGTGCCAAATCGGTAATAAGAAGTTTTTGAATAAGTTAAACTTTTCTAACTTATAATAAGTTGATAAAAACTTTTATAGAAAAACATAAGTTATTTCAAACCAGCAATTCCAAACACCCCCTTAGTTACCCCCTTAGTTATGGGAAAAAAAAAAACCTTAGTACCGAGAATGTCATTGCTTTGATTGAAGATGTTGCTAGAAGGTAAACAGATTTTCAGCTTTATAATCTTCGTCAAGATAAAACTAAGAGGGTGTTTGAGATTTGCTTATTTGAAACAACTTATAATTTTCTACAAAAATCTTTATTAACTTATTATAAGTTAAAAGGGTTTAACTTCTTCAAAAACTCCTTATTAATTACCAGTTTGACACCGGTATAAGTTGTTTATCCAAACACTCAAAAATGCTTATTAGCGGTGCTACACCGAGATAAGTCAATAAGTTGTCTTTATAAGCAATCCTAAACACCCCTAAATGTTACTTTTCATGATGATCTAGGTAACTAGACTCTAGATCTCTTTCTTCACATATCTGCTGATTGCATTGTAACGTAGAATTAGGTTTTGCATATCTTTCTAACACAAGATTAGGTGAAACTAATTAAGCAAACAAGCAAATAAATGATGGCAATAAAATAGATGGTTTCTAAGGTTAGTTTAAACCTATTGACTTTTGCGTTGAACTCCAAATATCTCAGAATAGCATGTTCAGTTCATCTTTCAGCATCATGGCAATGACAGTTTGTTTTCCTTATTAAACAATATACAAGTAAAAGTAATACTCACATTGTTCAGAGTGATGTCCACTTCAAGGCAGTTACATTTGCTAACCATATCCAATCAATATTGTATGGTAAGAAGCTATAAATGGGCATTTGGTAAATTGTATCAGCTAATGCTTATTCTCTACAGATGCATCAATGTATGAGTTTGTTGATCTCATAATCGAGAAAAAAACATTACGGGATGTTGAAATCGTCGTTTCGGTTTCTTACAACGAACGGTGTTTGGGATAACTTTCGGATTATGGAAATCTTGCAAAATGCATACTGTGAAAAGAGAATAGGAAAAGGAAAACCATGGTTTAAGTTAAAAGAGAGTTCTAACAGATCTATATATACACACATATATTTATGGTGCACATATACAAGAAACCCTAAATATTAAATATATATATATTATGTTGGTGATCAAGAAGAAAGTCCCACACCAAGAAAATCTATGAAAGGTACTTCATCCTTGTGTTTGATTGCTTCCTCTTCTTCTTCTTTATGTTGCTCGAAAATTGCTGTCGACCTAACCGGCATTGGCAGGTTGTTCTCGGAACTAACCAACTGCCTCTTGAGCACAGTCTCATGACTATTTTCGATGGGGTTTGAAAAATGAACCCTATTGTGAAACTGATGCCCGTATGCACTAGTGTCCCTATATCCTCCATTAGAACTTAAATAGTTTCGGGAAGTGAAATGGTCTGATAAACTATGGTGATGCATTCTAGAACTGAAGCAATCTGTAGTTAAATCGCCAGAAGATGGAGATCGATTGGCCGCTAGCATGGTGGTCGGACTTGCAAAGCTCCATGAGGAAATCCCATCTTTGTTTAAATTCTGGAATTGCATAAAATGACTATAGCTAGTAGCAAAAGAGATGGAGGTAGAATACTTTTTCGAGTTTGTGTCTCTTTGGTGTAATTCTTGATCAATATTCGGATTACGACTATGTAAATCATCATGGTACCTTCTTTTATCGCAAAGTTTGGACTTTTCCCTTTGTTTTCTTGCCATAATAACATGCCAATGATTCTTGACGGCGTTATCGGTTCGACCTGGAAATAGCCTCGATATGAGAGCCCACCGGTTTCCGTGTACCCTATGGGCTGCTAAGAGCCTTTCTTCTTCCTCTTCTGTGAATGGCCTTCTATTTATTCTGGGATCAAGTTGATTAAACCATCTTAGTCTGCAACTCTTCCCTACACAATATCAATACACAAAATTAAGTAACTTCCATATCAACTATATATAACTGAAAACCTCTCGCATAATTAACGGGTTGGATATCCAGGTTAATAAAAATAATAATAATAATAATAATAATAATATAACCCTTTTGAGTTTTGATCTGAGATCATTTGTTTTATGTTTTGGGGAAGAATAAATCAGTTTATATAAAATAAAAGAAATCTATAAAACTCAAACCTTGTAATTAATTTGTTCAAGAAATGCTAAAAATAACTTGGTCTTTGTAAATATTAAATAAAAGGAAATAACTTGAAACTAAATAAACTGAATTTTAATCACAAATCTTTCTGTAAACACTCCCAAGAAAATACAACTCTTGAAATATTAATAATTTGTGATCAAAATTTGTATCAGAAATAATCGAAGAAGGGATCTTGGGTGATCGATACATGGAGTAAAGAAAGAACAAGTTGATCCCACAAACGTATACGACACCTGATCTTCCTTGAAGCTTCTCGGCAATCGAGTTCCAGTTCTGAGGACCATAGCGTTCGACAAGCTGCCTGAGTTTCTCATCCTCAGCAGGTCTCCAGTGTCCTCTTGGACATGTCCTCGTGTCATCGCTAGAGCCACCACCTCCGTTTTCTTCCATAACTAACCGTAAACTATGATTCAAAAAATCTTTAACCAAAACAAGTGTCGTCTGATACAGATTGAAGCGGTAGTTTTACTGGTTGGATAGTAATCAGCATGAACAAACAATAATTACGCAAACTGAAAGAAGATGCAGATGAAGATTTTATAGAAGGAAAGATGATGAGATAAAAATAAAGTAGGTTGGTTTAGGGTTGTGGATGGGCAGTCACTTTTGTTGGTTTTGCACGACACTGTCTCTCATCTCATTTTGGGGTTCATAGAAAGAATTGCGTATGTGTGTGTACACTGACCCCTTTTTCTTGTTTCCTTTTGGGCTTTTCTTTCTACTTCCTCAATCAATTCAATTCCCAACAATTTCTTCATTCGCTTTCTCAACTATAATTTTTAAGGTAGTTTTTGACCATTATTGAGCACATACCCATATGAAAATAATACACCGTTCCGCGATACTATTACAACTAAAATGGATTTTCGTTTACTCTTTTCAAAAGTCCAAAAAGCGTTGCTAAAGGTTTTAGTAGTGTTTTTTTTAACGTTTTCTTCTAAAAAATGCAGAAAGAAACTGATATTGAGAACCCTAATTAATTAGACGTCGTTAGTTAATATCTTGGTTGCTTTTTTTACTTTTTTATAGAAATGACACTACAGATATATCCTCATCATATAAAAACTATGAGATTTAACTAACTATATAGTGCAATAAAGAAAGAATTGAAAGCTAGTAAAATATTGAAAATACTAATATTATTATTAATATGTTATAATAAACTATGAATAAGTAGAATATTTTTGGTGGAATTACCACAAAAAGAAAAATACAACCTAACAATGTAATGTCAATGAATTGTTGAGGATGTCTCAATAGATGGGCATCGAAATTGAACATCACTTTTGGTTTGATTTCACACAAAAAATATTGTATAAATGGGTATAATTTAGTTACCATTTATAAGATTTTGTTTCATCATTGTGCCCAAGCTACTTTAATTTCCTTTGATTCTTCCTACCTCTTTTTCGGTTTTTGGTTAAAGTACGAACATTGGTTTAGATCATTAAGGGAAAGGATGGTAAGTAGGTATAATAGTTTAGGGTACTATACTATATACAACCATAAACACACAAAGTGAACTAGAAGTACCCGTAGGTAGAAAGGAGATCGAAGTGAGTGTGTGTACATAGATACACGTATGTATGCATGTGCATGTGTACACATATGGGTCTATATATGTATATACATATATACACATATTATACATATATATACACTATAGACATATATATTTATGTTCATATGTCGAGAAGGTCCTCCATGATTCCCAAGAAAAATATCAAAGTATTTAGCTTAGGGTTGAATAGTCTTCTTCCCATGTTTTCTTTTCCTTTCAATGCTTTATAGGTGCTTTTACTCTTTCTTTTATCAACAAGTAGTTTTGTCATGGTTTTGACTACCTGAGTTATAGTTGACATAATTAGGAGTCGTTGTAAGGGCGTTCTATAAAAGAGTATTAGAGAAGAAAAGAGGTTTCAATAAATTTATGGTAAGTTGTGGTTATAATTCATCAAAAGAGGGACTAACATTAGCCAACAATGTCTTCCAATAGAGAACGTTGCAAAACATGTGAGCAGGAGGTAGGATTTTTATATGTTAAGTTGTAGTTGCTAGCTAGGGTTCGATATACATGATCGTATTCAACCACTGGAGGAGACCTTGAAGGCACTGTTGAACGTTTTTCTTCCCCAAAGATGACTTCGTATCCGTCCTTTGTGAAACGGTGACATTGTAAAGCTTCCGCATAATTTCCTTCGGATTGAGCTGGGTAGAGATGAATACTATATGGTAGCCGCAGGAAATTCTTTGGCCATACACTTTATTATTATTTCTTTTTGGTTCTTTTTTTAGAAAGTTGAAAGATTTGATTTAAATCTTTGAGAATGTGGACATAATTAAGAAGACTTGACAAATTAGAATTATCTGATTGTAACAAGTTTTGACATAATAGATTTTATCTCTAGGGCTGTTGTTTTACTCTGCTTTTGGAGTTTTCCATGTAAATTTTCGTGTTCTCTTTATCTCTATTAATTTTCATTGTGTAGCTGTTTGGGAAACATTAAGGCTAGTTTTCTGAATAAGTGGTATCAGAGTTTCAAGTTAGAGGAGGTTCGCTTAAATGGTTCTTAGTATGCTATGTGGTTGTAACACTGTCTAATCTTTCGTACCAGAAAAGAACTATCTCATGGTCATATAGGAGGAGATCTCAAGTTAGAGGCCCATTAGTATGCTCTATGGTTGCAGTTTTGCCTGATCTTCCACATGCATTAGCAAAGAGTTTATCTTGGTTACTTTGTGTAGGACAAATTTGTGTATGGTAGGAGTACATGCATATTTAGGAACGCTCTGGGTGTACTACTCATAATCTATGAACACTTCTCTAGGATATAATGTCGTTTTTCAAATACAAATACGATGTAAAAGTTTTCAAGCACTATGAGGTTTGGCATGTAACATAGACGAGTCTTTAATGTTCCTTCTTCATGATTTTGCACTACAACAATATCAAGGACCAAATGCGTATATCATACACCCGCTCCTTCAATTTCAAGCTTTCATCAATCGAGACAACTTCCTTGCTCTCTATTATATACTCTCACCTCCAATTAACAATTGTGCTCTCTCGATCTTCTATGATGTTGTGTTGAAGTCATGCACACCTAAATCAAAAGGCTTGAAACCAATGACCTAAGTTTTGAAAGTGCTTATGTAGACCCAAATTGAAAGTCCTGACCTAAGATTTTGAAAGTGTTGATAGAGACCTGGATCAAAATTCGTGAAACCAATGATTGAAATCGAAATTCTAGAACGAGATGCTATAGAGATGGAGGAGGATTCAATAATCCACTAGAGTTGGGGGGAGTCATGACCGAGTGGAGGTGCGGGAGTCCCACCAGATTGTGCAGATGCAGATGGTTGAATGATAGGGAGATCGGAGGAGAGGCGGTAGAAAGGATGAAGGAGGAGAGTCAAGAGACTAACCATAGGAGGAAGAAGGAGATCTTAAAGATTGTTAAAGGTGGCTAGAAACATGTTTTAGATAAGGGCATATAGGTAAAATTTTGGGCTAAGTATAAACAATATACCTCTACTAGTTGATCGAATACGTCTTTGGCTAACCGATTAAGCCATATCCAAACATGTTTTGTATGGTTGACTGAATAAGCGTTGATCTGAACTCTCTCAGTGATTTGATGATGACCCTCCATACTTAGTGAAATATGTTTGTTCTACTTTTGTTTAGTTTTAGCGATCATCTTTAAGTCTGTTCAGTGATTGTTGAACATGTACTATAAACTTTTTAAAGAACAACTATTCCTCATAGACATAACTCACACCAAAGGAACCTTCATTCATGTTAAAGAACTAGATGAAGACAGATGCATAACAGTTCATGATCTGAAGTGGATTCAGTGGTAACAAGAATAAATTAAAGTGTGAAATCTGACTAAGACTCAACGAACATTGAAGGATCTTTAGAGATGAATCAGTGTCAGCAATCAAATGAATCTTCCTCTAGAAGATTATCTTTTGTCTTATCCTCATGCACAAAAAGGACAACCCTATACCTCACACAGAAAAGTACACGTACGGAGTTACTTTATTATCTTCAAACGTGTTTACCAACTTTGTGAAGGACAACTGTTCATATGCGGCCAAATCCTGCATATCTGAAGACAAAGAACAAACTCTCCACTAGAAATTTTCCATGTAGCTTGTACCCTTTGACTTGCATTAAATTTTATGGGTATAAATAGCTTAGAAGACTCTTCTTCTTAGTAAGCACCTTCTTTTCCGTCTAACTCTTTTCTCTCTTGTTCTTATCTCCTTCTTTGCAAACTGTATGTTTCTTAGATTGTATAGATTAGGTCTTAACCTTATCTTTTTATGCAACAATTTGTAAATTCTGTATTGACCTTATTTTTATCAATAAATAAATTTATAAAGTGAAAATTGTGTGCTTGTATTCATCCCCCTTCTACAAACTGTTATCTTTAAAATCTTGTAAAGTCGTTTGGGACCAACAAGTGGTATCAGAGTAGTCTTTATTATCTCTCTTTAAGATAATCTACTCACCATTTTTTATGGATTTACAAAACACAAACACAAACTATCAAGATAATGGCTCTCTTGTCAAACCTCCCAGATTTAGCAGGGTCAAGTTCAGTCTCTGAAAATATCGAATGTCCTTATTTCTAGAAGGCATAGATCCTGAAATCCCTTATTATGTTGAAAATGGACCATATGTTCCATTTGAAATATCTGCAGCAGTTCCTGCCATTGCTACCACTGCTGCCATACCTGAAAGGCAGATTCTAAAGCTCTCTCATTAATGGAGTAATGAAGACAAGAAGAAAATGACTCTTGATACTAAAGCTAGATCTATCATAGACATGTCCCTTCCTGATGAGGTATATGATTCTGTAATGAAACTTAAAACCTCTAAATCCATGTGGGACATTTTGTGTGTTCAATATGAAGGTACTACTGAGGTACAAGAAACAAGAAAGATAAACCTGGTAAGTCAATATGAAAGTCTCATTTGTGGCAAAGCTGAATCTTTGTCTAAAGTACATCAACGCTTTAACTGCCTACTCATAGACCTCAGGAACATTGGAAAAGAATATTCCAACTCTGAGACAATGAAAAAATTCATAGAATATTTGCCAGAATCATGGGACAGTTATACCATGTGTCTTAAAATGTGAAAAGACATGGCATCTGTCTCTCAACAATCTATATGGGATTTTTGCTCAATCATGAGCAATCTCGCCAGCTGAAGAAGAATATCATAAGAGATTCAAAGGAGTCAAAAATCTCTTATGTAGCTTTTACTGTCTGAGACTCCTTCAACGACTACTCCTTCTCTCACAATCACTGAGTTAGATCCATCTAACTTTGAGGACTTAACAGACATTGATCTTTTAGAGTTTGATAAGTAACTGGATCTTCTTACAAATTCATTTAAAAGATTTTCCAAAAAAACTAACTTTCGTAGACCTCCTACTCTATCTTTGA